AAGAGAATCGTAAGTCGCCGCGCTGGTGGGCGTCGCGTGCGACGTCGCGCCGCAAATGACGATGGTTCCAGGTAGTAGATGGCGACAACAGGCAATTCAGAACCGAAAATAGTCATGAATGCCTCTGATGCAGGGTCGTCCGGTGCTCCAGTCGACAGGTTAAACGAGTCAGAAAACGCCACGCACATCGCCGCGCGCGGCGGAACGGCAAATTACGATTCTCTTGCTCGTCCCTGGTCGAACGTGGTTAACCGCCCCTTGTAAGAAAGTATCACTACTCAAATTTTTGAAAAGATTGTGCATTCCATCTGCAAACCAAACCTGGTTAACGCAGTCGACGGTGGCCCAAACAACATCGTCTGTTGGATGTTGCATTTTGTAGTCAGCAGCCGCAGCTTCAAATGTTGGTTTCAATTGGCGTGAGTAGGGGCACCATTCCGCTCCAAACGCGGCAAACACTAGCTGAAATTTCATCTTCAGATTGTCTGGCTTTTACACATTGAAATAAGGGCGTTCTAAGTTGAATTTTTGTGAACAGGGATGAGGGCGTGAAATCCAGTCCAGGCTTGTTCGCTGCCAATCGCAATCGAAACGCACGACAAGAAACGTTTGTATAAGGCAGCGTTCAGACTTCGCGACGGCAGCGCCTCGGTCGCGCGTTCGGCGCGATCGATGCGCATGCTTTCGACTGCATCGATCGCGTCGAACGCGCGACGAACGCTGCCGTCGCGAAGTCTGAACGCTGCCTAGGTGGGAATGCTGGACTGTCTCTGGGACGCTCCACACTGGCCCCATAATCAGACAAGTACCGTGACTGTTTTGGTGTGGTAACTCACTTGGATTGCAGAGATTCCCATTTTACACGAAGAGCTTTTCAAAATAACAAAGTGTTACGAGCTTCATTTTCCCTCCATTCCATAGCTGATGTGCCCCAGACGTGGTCGCGGAGAAAAGGGGGGGGGGAGCTCTGGTCGTCGGTGCTCTGCTGGACCTTGGAGGAAGGAGGACTCATTTCATCGTGGCGTCGCTAG